GATCTATGGGTGATGGCAAACTGCGACGTGTCTACGTCCCTTGCTTTACTAGGGTTTGTAACGAGGATCACAAGCATGTCAGTAAGTTTTAACACTTGGTTATTCATGTTGAGAATCACATCATCTCTTGTATCATGCATTTGGTTTGTAAAAACGGAAATTTCATTTCCATTATTATTATCCAGTAGTCTGATTATACCTGGGACAATAGCTTCTTGACTAAAGACTTCCCCAGGCTCTGCAAACATATTATTTTGTAGAGTCGACTTTTGCCTAGTAGTTTCCTCAACGATTTGCCAAACAGATTTCTCACCATTCCCTCCAGGTACTGCAGTATTATTATGTGTAAAATACATTCGGTTCCCAAGAAGTTTGATTTTCTTCTGGGCCATGTGCACTTCTCTATGTGGACAATTCAAAGTAAAATGGCCTGGTACATCACAGTACCAACAACCATCTGAAGTCATTTTATAACTCACCACTTTGCTTTGTGGGTTACTGACATTTGGTTGTTGGTGAACTATTTCTATCTGTGTGTTTTGTACCATATTACCAGTACTTATCAGTCCCCCACTGATTCCTGCAGGACTACACTATAATTTTGGTAAATTTGAGTTAGAGTGAAAAATTTGGTCAAGTCCTCAGGATTCCTGAGGACTATCAAGGATTCTTCATGTACTAAAAGCATACACTATTCTACACTTTTCAGCTTCAGCTATTTGTAATACACTATAGTACACTTCTTAAGCTATCTGCATATCATTTAGTCACTTTCTTCTTCCTCAGATTCTTCATCTAGGCCCAAGTCATCATCTTTAGCCTCAGTGGCTTCTTTCTTTTGCTTCTTGATGTCTTGCCTGTTTATAACATATTTTGTGTGATAAAAAAGCATGGCATGTATGAACCAATTAAAGTTGCTTGGTGTCATACTTGTGTTAGAGGCCATTGCAAGCATGGCAGAAACAAGTCCTCTTTTGCAAAGGCAATAGAAACCAATTTCCTTTTGTCTGTTTCTCTGGGTACATTTTTATCACACACAAGTAAATTTTCCTATATAAGTCTTCTTCTGGATTGTAAACAAATTAAGCCAGCATCATCACCATTAATAAAAAGCATTTCTATCTTTTTCTTATTTTTTCTTATTTTCTGATTATATGCAGGTAGATTACCATATTTGGAAGTCTACCCTAGAGCCTGAAACTGTTACCCAACATCATTACTAACAATAAGCACCATCCTTCAATTCTCACTGATTTTCTTGACATTTTATGACTATTTTTTAATGGATTACCATATTTGGATGTCTGCTCTGTACCCTGAACACTTTAGCTAACTTATAATACAAAGTTTACTGATATACAATAAATGTGATACAGGATTGGAAGAGAATGCCCAGAAGCCATAGTCAAACAATGGTATATAGCTAGATTTGAATATCTTACATAATTAATTGATCTTTTGTCTTGTACCACCACCATCTTGTCAGCAGTACTGCCTTCCTCTTGCACTACATGTAGTGCTTTGTATATCTGTACTTCCTACAGTATGCATAATCATGTTGGGCGAGGAGTATCTTGTAACTGCTCATTGCTCACTTATGGGTGTTGATCTCAGATCCACCCATTCTTGCCTCCTCCTTCCCTCTTGGCTTCAGCTATGCAAGAAGTTCAGAGTGAAGGCTTCACAATAACAGACTGCAAATGTCAGATATCGACTACAAAGTTGGATTATCTCTACAACAGGAGCACTTTACAGTGTAGAGCTACAACTTCCATTTTTTGACTATTTTTGGTAACTGGTCATGTGACCATCATCCCATTACATGGGCCCTAATAGATAAAATTATTCTTTACTTGGTTTTCTCCAGTTTTTGGTCAAAGTGGATGATATTTTCTTTTTGGTATGGACTCTGAAGGTAGTGCCTGACATTCTATATACCATTCAAACTTTTTTTCAAATTTTCCACTATTTTCCAGCAATTTTTGGATCTATTACCATATTTGGAATTGTACCCTTGACCCTGACAACATTATCACAGGAATGGCCATCCACCATTTTCTTCTGATTTTTTGCCTATTTTCTGGCTATTTTTTGTTATGTTACCATATTTGGAACTAGACTCTGGACCCTGACAATGTTACCCAATGTTATCACTAGCAATAAGCACCATTCCCCATTTTTTTCCTATTCTTGACCATATTACTTTATTTGGAACTATAATTTCGACCCTGACAATGTTACTCAATGTTATCACTAGCAATAAGCACCATCCTCCATATTTTTCTGATTTTCTAGCTACTTTTGGATATATTACCATATTCAGAACTGGACCCTTAAAACAACCTGACATCATTAACCAATGTAAGCACTGCAATGCCACCATCCCCCATTTTTGTACTATTTCATAGCCATTTTACGCTTTGAAAAAGTGCATATTACTCAATTTAGAACAAGTACCCTGGACCCTGAAAATGACCTCCAAGATCATCACCAACAGTAAGCACCACCCACAATTTTTTCTGATTTTTCTGCTATTTTCTGGCTATGTTTGGCTATATTACCATATTTGGAAATGTGCCCTGGACCCTGAAAACAACCTCCAACATCATTACCAACAGTAAGCACCACCCCCCAAATTTTCCTGATTTTTGTGCTATTTCATAGCCATTTTACCTTTGAAAAAGTGCACATCTCCTTATTTAGAAATGTACCCTGGACCCTGAAAATGACCTCCAACATCATCACCAACAGTAAGCACCACCCACAATTTTTTCTGATTTTTCTGCTATTTTCTGGCTATGTTTGGCTATATTACCATATTTGGAAATGTGCCCTGGACCCTGAAAACAACCTCCAACATCATTACCAACAGTAAGCACCACCCCCCAAATTTTCCTGATTTTTGTGCTATTTCATAGCCATTTTACCTTTGAAAAAGTGCACATCTCCTTATTTAGAAATGTACCCTGGACCCTGAAAATGACCTCCAACATCATCACCAACAGTAAGCACCACCCACAATTTTTTCTGATTTTTCTGCTATTTTCTGGCTATTTTTGGCTATATTACCATATTTGGAAATGTGCCCTGGACCCTGAAAACAACCTCCAACATCATTACCAACAGTAAGCACCACCCCCCAATTTTTTCTGATTTTCTGATTTTTCTGCTATTTTATTGCTATTTTACATCTGAAAAAGCGCACATTTCCTTATTTAGAAAGGTGCCCTGGACCCTGAAAGCCACCTCCGATGTCACCACCAACAGTGAGCAACACCCCAAGCTCATCGTCACAAGCAGCAAGCCCTTTACAGCTAATATAATGTATATAGGCTGGATTTGTAAGCATCGGAAATCTCCGAAAATGACATACTTCCCTTGTGGGCTACCTTTGATTTTGAAGGTAGCCCGGAAGGGAAGTACGTCATTTTCGGCTATTTCCAATACTTAGGAAAGTAACTTGATTAGTCATCATTTTTGCGAAAATGAAGATTTCTATGTAGCTCTACCAATTCTGGTCCAAATGACACAGTACTTTTTGCAGTATGCACTCCTTATTTCTAGGATTATTGTGAAATGAGAATAGCTATAGGTAAATACAGATAAATAGTCTGAAATTAAATTTTGTAGTCTATCAGCAAACTTTGGTTTCTGTATGCTGAAGTTGAACCCACATAATATCACATGGTTTAAAACAAATACAAACAGTTTCATATACAACACACATATGTAACTTTCACATTCACAACATGTATCCTCACCATACAACCTTATCCAATCCACCGCAAATAGTGTTTATCGAGTGGCATCTGTATACGTGTCCTGTGAACTGTTGCCTTCATTGTGGTCTTGGCCAGTCCAAACCCAATGAACTAGAAGGTGTATTCTTTAGAGAGAATACATGTCCTGTTATTGACTGTTGGTGTCAGCATGGTCTTGGCTAGCCCAAACTTGTGGGTGTGGGCCAGTGCTTTGCATGGCATGTATGAGTCCTTTCTGTGGACTCTAAATTTAATATTAGGAAATTGGTCATGTAATCACTTTATGATTTTCTGTGTTTTGTTCTATATTTGCAAATAGACCCTGAGCTCTGAGCCTAGCCATTAATATCATAGCAACAATGTGTGCTATTCTTTTCTTTTTTTCTTTTTTTTTCTCTTTTTATAGCAAATTTTCCCAATTTTATAACTATTTTTCTGTTTATGGTAAAATATTCCCACAGTCCTGTTTGCATATATCTCAGGAAAGAGGATGGTTAGTTATATTTTGTGACCTATAATAGCATGCTCTATATATTTGTGATGAATTTCCTTTTTTGGGTTAAAATTCCCACGGTATCAGAAGCACAGCCTCTCACTTAGCTCCATAAACAACAATTGTAGCCCCTTTCCTTACCTTTATAGATATATATAAATAATGTCATGCAGACCATTCCTCATTGAGAAAAACACAAAATACTAAAAAAATTGGACACTTTTTGGAAATTGTCATGCATTTTTGACCAATATCTCAAAGAGCAAGAAAGCTGGTCTCAAGATATAGTCACATTGCATGATATGACAATATTTTTACATGGTTGTCTTGATTTCCATATTTGGATATGGACCCTGAATACTGGACACAGCCCCTTCAACACCATGGCAACAG